CGACGCAGCAATATATTGATTTGAGGTAGTAGGCGGACCGAAAACGTTATGGATATGTACGTGCACCCGCTAACATATGAGCAGACTACCACATACGCACTGAAATTTGTTTTATCCAGACTCGTCCATAATCTACTTCCATGAACCACTCAAGTGTCTGCCCTACAGTTTCATATTTGCATATTCGAATAGGCTTATACTAAATTATTCGGAAATCAACGCAACACTTAATTTCCCACAGATTGTTTGTTTGCATCAAACCTTGGACATTTGAGGGTCAAAGCCAAATGATCACACGTCTTGTACATCGATTGGCTTCAAGAAACAACAGTTTTGCATTTTTATTCGTGGATAACGTGCGTCTCAAGGTTAACCTTGTGGGTTTTGCCATTAACCGCCTGATTAATAATGTTGTCGATTTTGTTATCTTGTTTCCTACTTAATTTCTCCGCTTGTGGTAAGTTATGCAATTTTTTCAAATGTGTTTGTAACCGAAGAAGACGCGCCTGAGCTACCCCAGTTCATACCGTCACATGAGTGGAAAGTTATTTTACCTGGTCAAACCATTCCGAAGGGCATTCACGTCAGGCATAACTTTGAGAATGGTTTAACAGAAGGCAAACTTATGGATCCATCAAGTCCTGCAGACAAGAATGGTATCAATTATTTGCATATTTTATTGTTAGAGCTGGTGTTGTCGGATATAGAATCGAATGACAAAACACAGAGAGACAGTCCTGCTACGGTGGATGATGAACACTCACATAAAATGGTATTTTAGTTTGTTTCTTTGGATGACCTGTAGAATTTACAATTTGATGCTTCGAATAAATTTCGGACGTATCGCGAACTTAAAAAGGACTACGAAACTATAATTTCATCTGTTAAGACCGAAGCGCAGATCATACAAAGACTATTTAACGAGTATGAAACGTCGTCATCAGAGGAGACTAAAAACATCGTACTTCAAGACTTGGCTGAGTACCTTCACCAGGTTTGTTGTTCCCTCACCCACATACTTTTCAGTTCGACAACGCTGTAGACTTCGCCAACAGCGGAAACCTGTCGAAATTAGTTCAGGAGTTGCCCGATGTCCCTTTACCGCGAAAGGTTTACATTGCCCGATGCCTCTCTTCAGCACTGCAGGGGTACGTATGTTGCCGCTCACTTCAACTTATAAAAACGACATGGTATTTTTTCCTTGTTTCATATCTGAATGCACTAAGGACGCATAGCGCGTTAGGTTCAGACGGTAGTGCCGAAGATGGCAAGAGAGGTTGTATTAGACTTCCGAACTCTTGCCTTTCCCCGCCCAAGAAATGGGTCAGCTCTGTCCAAGGGCGATTACCGCCGTTTGACTAGTCTCACAGTAATCACTTTGCATCCTTTGATTCTCTCGGTTCTCCACAGCCCGTAAACATTTGCTACCTATTGACATCATGATGTGTCAGAATTTGCCTGTAGATGAAAAGGAAACACTGCTCATAAATGCTGCTGACGGAATATTATTATTTTTTAAGGTAACTCCTTGTGTTCATGTGTCTCTTGTGGGTTGGAAAACCAAACGTGTTCCGTTTTATTCAGTTCACTCTGTTCTCCGTGCGCTCGTTTTGCGCTGGTCTCCACTATATTATACCAGGGTCTATTTTGCGGTTTTTCTTGAATGGCTTCTGTTGTTTTCCCGAAGTTATAGTGTTTGCAGATTGTCCCATTCGTCAAATAGTCAAGCGAATGCGACCGTAATCGAAAATATACTCCCGTTATTACCACGCATATCCTATTGCTAACTATGCCGTAGGAAAAATTATAGAACCCTTATCCTACATAAATAGCTTTCTTTGTGATTTAAGTAATAGGGCTATCTTATGAGAGACCCTACGTAGACAGATCTGGCGGACGTTTTTAACCAATAAGCGTGCGGCAAGAGCGTCCAATATATTGGCGGACGTTTTAATGTCTTTATT